TCTCCAGCATAAATATTAGCACCGGGACATAGGTCACTGAATTGTTTTAGTCGAGCAAGCTCATTTACATGATAAGAACGACAGCATTGCACACAAAGGACGTTTTTAACAAAATTGGTGAATAAAGCTGAATTTCTGTGTATTCTGAGCATATAAGTTACGGAATTCACCCATTACACAATAAATTTGTAGCATCCACAATTGACAGTTAGGGATTTTTGCAGGAACTGTTAACACCTGCAAGTCGGCTTTCATTCGCATCTTCGGTCTTGTTCCCATTTGCTCGAGGATTGTATGTTATACAATACGATATGATTTCTAAGGGGATCAATATGCTTTATCCATTTGGAGAAAAAAACTAACAAAGAGAAGCAGAGAATGTAGTTGTAGTCATTGTATTAGTTCAAATACTAGGAGTAGTACGAGCAACAGAAGTAGTTGAATTCAAGTAGCAGTCAGAGCAACAGAATCAGTAATGAAATCAGTACTACTTGCACTAATAGTACAATCACTATCAAGTGCACGTGTTTAAGCTAATAAAGTCGGAAATTATGTGACATACCTCCTGAGTAATTTCTGTACCATCATGGGACAGCCTTCAATGGGCTGGTAATATCGCGGATAATCTGCACGAGTAAAGACTTCCCAGAATGATGCGCAGAGACTGTAAATATCTACACTTCGGTCGTAACGGTTTGGCTTTCCATTAGTTCCAGCTGAAAAAGATCAAAAATTGGAAGTCACAGATACTGCTCTATAGCCTTCTCAAGCCAGAGCCAATCTGAGCTGATTTCGATGGTTATAGATTATTGTGTACAAAAACACGTGGATGTTTAGGGGCGGGTGGTTTCTGTAAGTTTGACTTAAACCGACAGGCCTTTTTAATATAAGTAAACAACATTGGTCTGATCTCTAGGTACACGCCGTCATGTCCTACTTGTGAAGAGGTTGATTTACCCGTTTTTTTAAACCTCTGTGCTTTTAAATATACCTTCACTTAGCGTATGGTTTGACAGTTTGTTTACTATTTGCAGCTCATTGCGATGCTATGCATGGTTATTAAGGATCATATATAAAATCTTACACATCTAATTATATGTGTATTTTGCGACCCGCTAAGATAAGCCGAAGAAGGCATTCTTGACAGCTCCTTTTTACAAAATAACCAAAATAAACGCTTATTCCGTAAAAATATTTTTCCGTGAATGCTTATTTCGTATTCTTTCGTAACAAAACACCCGCAAAATCCTACGATAGCATACTTATGTTTGGCAACCGAGTATTGCTCTTATTTCGGCCTCACTGGCTTGGGAAATTTAAGCCACTCCCATTATAGTGCGCCTATGTGACTTTTCGGTGAAGCGGCGATCACATTTGTTTATGTTTTCAACGCAAATTATTGCTTACGATAAAAAATGAATGTTTAAGGAATTTATTGGGATACAAATCAGCACTCCATATACTTTTGGATTATCTTCTCAATGTAAAAAATGCAAGCATTATACCTATGTTGCCAAGGCACAACACTGTATTCCTCAAAAAATATTTGGTTCGGGTCAAATGATTCGGTATGTCTAAGTAATTTTTCCTCGTTTCTACCTTACAGATCCATTCTAATTAGTGTTAAAATTAGCAATCCTAGAAGTGATGATTTTAACACTACTTAGAATGGATCTATATCATATATTAGTCGACTTTTAGCTGTCAGTCGACTAATATATGCAGTTTATTATCGGAAAAATAGGATTTATTCGTCATGGGGCAAGGAAGTTGGCACCCTTGCATGTTTAACCATTTGTATTTTACATATTATAAGCAACTCAAAAAACTATCATTACAAACGGATTCTACTTACGCTCAAATACTTCAGGGGCCATATACCTTATGGCACCCTGGTGCGAGGTTAGAGATACGTCCTCGTCTCGGGCAGTCCCAAAATCACAGAGCTTAAGTAAACGACAATCGTCAAAAAGGAGCATGTTCCCTGGTTTAATGTCACGATGGATCTTTGGTGGATCACAATGTTCGTGAAGATATTCCAGGCCGTTTGCTGCGTGAAGAAACCATAGGAATGCGTGAGACATTGCGTACTCGACTTGCCACGGATTACCGATTCTTTTGTCGAAGCGGGCTGAGCGGACTATTGGAATGCAAAAAAACTGGTTAATGCCCTTGATGATGGCGAGTGGATTTTAATACGGCTTTTTATTTGACATCAACTATCTATACCACAAACTTACGATGGTGTAAAGAGGAATTCCGGGCAAATTCCATAACGATAAACATAAGGCATTTCTTTGCAGGACTTGGTCCAGCGCCGATAATGCCCACAATGTTAGGGCAGTGACATTCCATGAGACATATGAGCTCACGGTAGTTGGACAATCTATTTTTCGGATTCAGACATTTAATGGCAACCCTATGGCCTCTGTATTCCCCCTTGTATATTTTCCCGAAAGCGCCACTGTCTAAAGTCTTCAGAAACTTGTTGAGGCAAAACGACCAATACCTTCCCTGTATCCCAAAGCTCCTCCTCGGTAATTCGCAGTACCTTCTTGGAGTGCGAAATTAGCTTTCGGAATTCTTCATCTTGTTTCCTAAAATATAACAATAGAGAGCGTTAGTATTTTTATGCTATTCTGCGAATTAAAAGGCGCTTCTTCAGTTATAGAAACGGCGAACTGTCTCGAGCTTACTCCTTTTTATCGTCAATTAGCATGAATTAGCGTCGATTCGAAACACCACCATTTAGTTGTAGAAAACGCCCTTGACGGACATAAATAAACAAATACCTTAATGAATTATTTAAAATATTTCTTAGAACATAAGCAGCAATAAAGTGAAAAGTGAGATCTGATGTAGAATAATAAATATTTGCACATTTTTTCCCCTGTGTAATTGACCAGGTACAAGTGAGTAGTCATGTAGGCAGAGAATTCAACACCCACTTGTGATTAGCCTTTAAAAAGTAGGCTTAGCCATCTTTTGAAAATAACGTTGAACTAAAAAGGCAGCACCGAAGAAGCCGTGCGACGAATTCAGGTGCACATTTAAGCAAGCTCTCAGTTAAAAAACGGTAGATGAAATCAACTGTTTCAAAGCGTGTATGGATGACGAGGGTATGTTGATACTAGAATATCAGACCACAATGTGAACATTGAACGCAAATATAGTGTCACAGGGATGCTAATTGGGATGACATCTCACTCGTATCGTCAATTTTTGTGAGCTCTTGACAGCTCCGGAGCCGGGATTTAATTTTTTGATAGTTTGGAGTAAATTAAATGGTAACGGTTTGAACGGAAGTTGTATGACTCTGATAATTTAACTGAATGCAAGATATTGCAAAAAGGTCATTAAGCACGGAAATTTAATGCATGAAAAAATAATTTGGGGGCAGATTTTTACTATTCTGATTGTGCTCTATCGGAATTATGGAGAAAGCAGCTCAGAAACGGAGAACTTTAAGGATCAATCTTGACATTTTAAGGATAAAAACGCATACGATAGTTTAGATGACCCAATTGTGAAAAAAATCGCGGCATTCGGCGGAATTCGAACCCGCATAGGAGGGAAGGCCTTCCACTTATTTTTTTAAAAAGTCTTCTACACATTTTTAATTTTTAAATGGTTGGACTCGATACTGAAAGCAAAACATCTGCAGCAGTATTAAAGAATGAGAAGGACAAACCTGCGCTGAAGTCATAATTTTTTTCAGGAAAACAGTAGTTATAGGAAACAGAGAAGCAAATGTGGACAAATGTGTCCATAATAATATCGCCCGTCCATATCTATCCCCTTTCCGCCCCTTTGGAGTTTGGAAATGGTCCTCTTGGCATTGAAGCCAAATTCGTTGATATTAAATTTGTTTTTAAATATGCTTATATTATCCTCTGCAGAGTCAAGCTTTGCATTCTTTTCTTGTCGTTTTATCTTCCCTCCAAACAATCATTGTCAAATGTTGCTAGACCATCTGAAATTTATGAAGATGACGATGGTGCCTGTTGTCTTTTTGATGATCGCGGAGGGTCCCCCTGGTTCTGACAGATTTTCGGTGGACTTTGCAGTATGTAAGGCCGCATCTCCGACATTTCCGTAACGACCTCGTTAACTCTACTCTATCCTCTCTGCTTCGACCCCGTTGGCTGCGATGCGCCCCTGCTGTCGTACCGCCCAGATGGTTGACAGTCTACCCAGTCGGACGGTAGTATTGTGGTGGACAATATTCCTTGCTCTTATTCATTTATAGCCAGTTCACAGGCAAGGTGAACGATTAGTATGGCGTGGATGACACCGCCATCTGGGCCGATGAAGAGAGCCCCGTGGACAGCCTGGAGGAATAATTATTTTATTAGTGCCAATTGCCTGTTTCAACTTATGAGAATGTAGGCTTACTGCCTGTTCAAATACGAAAAACGAATCTCGATGACGCAGCACTGTCTGAAATATGATGTTTTTATTCCTGAAGATTCCGACTAACTAAATGACTGATGCATAAGGGAGGTGATAACCTTATTTCGCAGCTTTCCGTTAATGGTTTGAATTATATTTGTTTATTTATTTTCAGTTGGCAGGCAAGTTTGGCATCAGATTAATTTGCAAAGCACATCTTGGGCGCATTCTAAGGCCTGAAAGACAGGAAAACCCAAAAATAAACTCCCTCTTTTGCATGAACTTGAAAATAGGCATCCCGAGAAATATAATTTGATGTAGAAATTGGGAAACGGTAGCGAACTTCATTTGCTAAAAAATACTATAAACAGATAAAAGGATCACCGATGGGGTCTTCAATTTCAGGCTTCTTGGCCGAAATAACGATGCAAAAATTAGAAACTATGGCCCTACCACTAGTTAACCCCAAGTTGTGGGTACGCCTTATCGATGACAGGTTTGTCATTGTTAAAAAGGACCAACTGGAAACACTGCACAACATTATCAATTCAACAATACCTAGAATCACATTTACGCTCGAAAAAGAAATTGCAAACAAAATCCCCTTTCTTGACATCCTCGTACAACGTAATACTGACGGATCGTTTCAAACATTGGTTTACCGCAAAGAGATCTATGTTGATGTTATCCTTCATTACAAGAGCAACCACCATATTGCTCACAATCGGAGTACTATTATCACCCTGATGAATCGAGCAAAAAGTCATTGTTCTTGCCCCGACCTCTACCAAGCCGAACTCAATTACCTGTTCACACTGTTTTCGAAAAACGGTTACCCCAGAGAATTCGTGCATCGACGCATGAAACGACAAAAGTTTAAACAAAACAAAAAGGAACTATAATGTTCCGATGAAGCGCCCTATCCAAGAAATTGGCTAACACTTCCATATATTAAAAACATATCCGAACTCGTAGAAAGACACCTGAAGAATTATCAAATCCAAGTGGCGCACAAACCAACGCTTACTCTACGAAATCAGCTTGTACACCCTAAGGATAGGGTTGGCTATTTAGACAGAGAGGCGGTCGTTTACAAAATTCCTTTTAGCTGCTGCAATGCAGTTTATTGCAGAGAAACAGGACGATCGCCCTCCACACGCTTACGCGAACATCAGCGAGCGGCAAAGGGACGATATCCGTTGTCCGAGGACGCCATGCACACAGTAGAAACTGGACACCAATTCGCATGGGACGAAACTTGCATTGTTGGCTCTTGCCCATACAAGAAAGATCGCGAATTTTTAGAAGCTATGAATTCTGACGAATCTTGCATCAACAGGCACGTTGAGTTGGATTCAATATACACCAACCTTAAAAAGGCCTGGGAAAATAGACCAACCACAACAGCAGGCTAATGACCACAGCTGACACATCATTATCGATTTTTCGACACGTTTAAAAATTTGAACTGCTCCTCACACTATTTCCTCACTTTTGAATACGACCTAGCGTGCTTGTGTCGAAAATTTATTTACGAATCAATTTTGTTACCGTTTCCCGAAGAATTTCTCCTTCTTTTGTATTCAATATGGGCTTCGTTTTATTCTTGCGTTTGCTCATTATTGAATGAAATAGGAAATTGGTTACAAGGGAAAAAACCTGGCATCAAATGTAAGATACTAACGAAGGATATGTACAGCAATTGATTGAGATGACAGTTAAGCAGAAAAAAAACTACTGTTCGTTGAGCGTATCAAGTTCGGGACAGGGGAGGTTTGACACAAGAGCACCGTGTTCGCAGTATCCATTGAGTGTTATGTTTCAAGATTCTGCCTCAGAGGAATGTGTGTCGCCGAACTGTTGCTCGGTGTTGGCTGAGAATTAGCCAATTGCAGGCTGCAGATTCAGCACCGTTGTCGTCAGCATGAAGCCTGACAGTGTTAAAAGTCCACGAACGCAATCAGAGGGAGAGATTGCACTGAGTCAGCACCCATATTTCATAAAATTTGTCCTGAATTTAGACAACTAGTGGGAGCTCACTTAGAGAAAGTATAGCTTTGCTCAGTCTTGATACCCTTGCGTGGCTTATTTCGGATTGCTAGGGGTTTGAATGGAAAAAATAGAGCGTGCCGTAGGAAAAAAGAAAAAACATGACGATAACGGGCGTGCTGAGAGTGCTATAGCTGACAGAGCTTACTGACTGGATTAAAGGTGCGGCCACTTAAATGCTTAAATGGTAAAACTTAACCCCTTCTGTAATCTGAGAAGCCACAGCGGATCAAGGTTTATAAGTTTCAACATTGCTGGTTCCACAGGTTACGGTGTTCTGAAGATAAAACTCTTTTAGTGAAGAGGTGCTGGATCGACTCAACTTTCTTCCGTCCGCTAGTGCACCGAAGGCTAAATGGGGCAGAGCAGGATTCGGACTATGTCTTACGTTAATACAATAAAAGCTAGTTTTAAACTTTATGGTCTTAAGATTCCTGAGAATAAATCCGGTGGTTCGACGTGTTTTCGAGAAAATCAGGACGCAGTACTCTGACAGATTGAGACTGCTAAAAGAGGTAATGCGCAGATCCTTAACAGTTACGGGCACATTTGTGATTACTCTAGACTGATGATCATCCTCAAAAACGATACTGGAACATTTGTGCCAAGAAGGAGACAGGCGCCATTTGTAGCATTATGGGTGAACACGTGAAGATACTTTTTCATGAGTTCGTTCAAAATGTTGTGCGTTGCTGGTTTTTATTGATAGGCAACTTTTAAATCGCTACCATTCATAAAGAATCTGCCATTCTAAAAACAATCAAGAACATCGTTGATGAAAATGGAAAATAAGAGCGGACCATATATGCTACCCTGAATAACTCCAATCCTCGTATGTGTGGGGTTGGAGATGACACTGGAAATTTTAACTCGTTGTGTACAAGCATCCAAATAGGAAGATAGTATAATCAGAAGCTTGTTACCTAGGCCGAAACACGCAAGTTTCAGAAGAAGGAGATTATGGTCTACAGGATCAAAGACCCAATTGAAATCAATATAGAGTGTATATAGAGCAAAACCACTGACTCTACATGGTGGCGCATGATCATTGAAAGCGATTTGGCAGATGTAAAAGGGTAAGGCCGGCCTAACAAACAACCTTAGTAAGCAGTTAGCCTGCAAGCAAAAACCGCACTCAAAGCAGGCTATCGATCGGCCTACACGGGCGAATGTACGCAAGCCTTCAATCAATCGATAATTATAAATGTCAAGCTTCATTCAGTCACTAGGTCACCAGCCAATCGTACCGGTGACTACATCAGGAGAGAATCTGGAAGG